GTCATGATCAATGACTGACATTGGGCCCATCCTTATGGTCCCAACGTTGACTTCCTCACCCTCTGAGTTGGGTGAGTATTGAGGTCCTTTGTATGGGTCCTCTACTTCGAAGCTTGATGCTCTGGAAATTACCAGAGTTGTTCTCTGGTTTTTCGTTTGATGAGTCTTCTGACTCTTCTTCTGTTGTGGTCACGATCTCCATGGCGGCTATGCACCTTGGTTTTTCTTCGCTCATTGCATTGTGTCTTGGGCAATCTTTCGTTTTCCCTATTTTGCTGCATTTGCTGCAAATTGGAACTGACTTTTGTTCGGTTTTCCTCGAGTTTTTCGAGGATGTATCCTCTTTCCATCTGGGTTTCGGCTCTTCAGCCTTCTTTTCTGATGGGAGGGCTCTGCTGTGGCTCATGGTTGCCATGGTAGTTGTTCAGGGATAGTATCCTGATTTGTAGGCTGAAGACATCTTCAGCCCATCGATTATCTCGTCTACACGAGATATTGCTTTTAACATCTCCTCGTTTGAGGAGAAGTCTGCTCTGATTCTATCATGAGCAATCATTTCCCTCTTCCATTCGAGGGGAATGTAGTTTAGGAACCTGGTGTTGAAGGATGCCTGGTCTGGTGGCGTCACCATCTGGGATGCTGCTTTGGACAGTTCTAGGTAGAACTGTTTTAGGCCAGTTTCCGCTTGTTGCAGTACTTCTTTGTTGCATTCAACATGGCAGAGACTTTAATGAAAGTTGTCATCAATATGTTGAGAACTTTGAGGAACATGCCCTCATCTCCTCTGAGGAGAGTTTCGTCTCGGAGTCTTATTCCAAGGTCGAACGTGGGTCCCCCTAATCCACGAATCAAGCAGTCCAGATGGACTTCGTCAAATTGGGGACCTTTGCATCCTTGCAAAGCGAGGAATCCCAGTAGTTCTGTGAACCACTGCCAGAATGATTCCATGTTGTTCTCCCCTGACCATTTCTTGTCAGGGAATGCCGGCCCATTTTTTAGGGCTTCAGGCTTCACTCCTTCTGGGTAGGGAGTGAGTATTCTCACTTCAGCCATTCTTATGGCTTTTTCGTACCATTTCTCCAGGTACTCCTCTTGCTCCCCTGCCTTCACAGGGTCGCTATCCAATGGAGATATCTCCTTTGGGGGGGTTTTCACTGGGGGAAGTCTTCCTCGCAGTGTTTCTTTGGTTTCAGGCAAATTTGCCTGAAGTTGTATTTGGATTCTCTCATTGTTTTGAGAGAGTGTGGTTGAGTTACCTCTCTGTTCAAGAGGTCCATCATAAGTGGACGTTTGGCCAAACCTTTGGTACATGCCAATTCTCCTCCTAATTTCTGAACGATGCCTTCTTTCGGCATCGTCTTCTCCTATCCTTGGGAGAAGGATCTCCTTAGCGTCTCTGTCGAGTCGCTGATGATACTCCAGTGTGCTTTCACTGGTGGTTCTTTTCATGAACTTTCACAAGTTCTGTTTATGTCCTGGACCGTGGTCCAGGGGTGTTTATTTGTTTCCTCACTTTTTTGTGAGAGGTTTATTTCCTTCTGCAAGTCCATCTGTTCACTGATTTTTTCAGTCAACGTGTCAATTGCGTTGGCCATTCTTTCTAGAGTTATCTCTAGACGAGCTGTACTATTGTGGTTCATTTCCTCATCCTTTTTTTGGATCAAGTTTATCGCGTTTATTATGCGCGATTCCTGGTTTTCCAGGAGGAAGTTTGGTTGGGCGAGCAGTGACTCTCCCCAGTGACATTGCCGCTTCTGGGGGTTCCAGAAGGGGTTCTTGGAGTGAACACTCCACGCTCACTTTGTTTAGGCAAGGCTGTTGCGGAGGGTGCTTCCCTTTCATAGAGGGGTCTGTTCACTGGTTTTTCCTTATTTTCCATAAGGCTTCCTCAGTGAACTCCCTCATTTCAGTTCGCCTCCTCTTCATTATCTCGGAGACCTCCTCCGAGGTTGGCTGTCATATCCATGCATACCCGATCTCGACCCGACTTCTGGACCTCCTCCTTCCCCACCTCTGGAGTCCTACCCTACCGCTGTCCGTTCCAATATTCACCTTCGGTCCTGGCACCACACCTCCTCTTACCTCCCATGCCACCTCCACTCCTCCGTCCCACTCCTCCCCTATCCCTGTCCGCTCCGATACTCACCTTGGACCGAACACCACCCCTCTCGCTACCCTCCTACTACTCCTCCCCCTACTCCTCCGCTCCCCCCTCACAAACACCTCCACCCTTCCGTCATCCTCCTACTCTTCTCCCATCCACTCCGATACTCACCTTCGGACCTGACAACTCTCCCTTCCGCCACTCCTTCCCTCTTCCCTCTCTCCTCTCTCTTCCCTCTGGTCCTCTCCTGCCAACCTCCCGCCTGTTAGAACCAGGTGGATACAGACGACTCTGGAGTGGAATCGGAGACTTAGCGTGGAGGGACCTTGGCCTCAGCGACTCAAGCGGAGCACTGTGCCATTGCTGTTTGTCCATTTGGTCCTTAATTTCACAGTAGGTGAGCAGGAAGTCTCTAGGGGGCATTTCAGGTCGATTTCGGACTGAACCAAAACAAGTATGTACAAGCACCGATATATATAATGGAGGGGGCAAAAGCACAAGGAAACAAAGGGAAACCGAATCGGAACGAAGACGTCTGAATGGGAACAAAGGGTAGAAGAAGCGGAGCGGTACCGAAGGTCATAAGGCAGGACCTGTGATACATCCAAAAGGAGGTAGGGAGGGCGAGGCCCAGAGGGGCAGGAGGATGAGGAGAAGTGGGGATGATGACTAACTGGCTAGAATGGGAAGAAGCAGTAGTCCAAATAGGGATGAGGGGAAAACGCGAGAGATACATTACAAGCAGCGAAAGTGCCGAAGGCGGTCCACGAAGCTCGGGGGTTGCGGAGGTTACAGAGGTTATGGAGGCAGGGTTGAAAGTCCGAGGGATATTGGCAATGGTGTCTACGTAGTATGAGGTCACCAATGCAATGGACTAAGACCGAGGTGGAGTCAAAGTCCGAGGTAGGGACTATGACGGAGGCTCGGAGCAAAGGTACAAGCGGTGTCCAAGTACAAAGTACGGGACAGCGGTGGAAGGTTGTAACTTGGCGGGAGGGTGGTGGAGGAGTACCAGAGGGAGGAGAGAGGGGAAAGGTAAGGGAGAAGGAGTGGCAGAAAGGAGAGTTGTCAGGTCCGAAGGTGAGTATCGGAGCAGATGGGGGAAGCATAGGAGGGTGACAGGAGGGTGGAGGTGTTGTGAAGGAGGAGCGGAGTAGGAGGAGGAGTAGTAGGAGGGTGGCGAGAGGGGCAGTGTTCGGTCCGAGGTGAGTATCGGAGTGGACAGAGATAGGGGAGGAGAGGGAAGGAGGAGCAGAGGTGGCATGGGGGGTAGAAGGAGGTGTGTTGCCAGGACCGGAGGTGAGTATCGGAATGGCAGCGGTAGGGTATGACTCCGGAGGTGAAGAGGGTGGAGGTCCGGAAGTCGGGTCGGGGTCGGGTATGCACGGATATGACACTTTATTCCTTTGGAGGAATCATACATGAGGGTTTTGAAGAGTTTGGTGGCAGTTCCTGCCACCGATCTCTTCATGTATGTTAACATCAGCTTGTTTAGCAGCTGAATGAAGGTAGGGGTTGACCCCTCCTCAAAACCTTGCTTCATATCATGAAGCACAATTTGTTTGGGGTCGCTGTCTAAGGTGCGAGCTAGAGCATCTATATGAAGCTCGTTATAGCTTGTGCCTTTCCACCCATTTCCTGATATCCAGGAAGTGAGCTCCACCAGCCAGTTCTCGAATTTTTCGAGATCGTTTTCACAAAGTGGTGGGAAATGGCACAGAGTTCTTTTTCAGTAACTCTGGTTTTACATCGGCTGGGAGAGGTGTTAGGATACGAGGTTTGATACCCTTCTTACAAGATCGCCCATGAAATTCTCTGGGTCTCCAGGGGTCATACTGTTAGGGTCCCTAGAATAGGACCTAAGAGTAGTTTCGATGAACCCATCATTTGGGTTGGCAGCACTCACCATCCTCGGAACAATTGAGCTCGTTGCCCAAAGAGGGTTCAGATTGTTACTGAACTCTCTTTTCATGGGAGAAATTAGGTTTATCAGGGCCTCAACCTGAGGACCCAGCATATGATGAACGGTAGGCTGGGGAGTCAAGACTTCTTGTTCGTGTTGTTTACTAGGCTGATTAAGGCCAAAGAAGGTGGCCATGTCGCTGTTGCCACCACCAGGAGGCACTTGCACCCTGAACCACCCATAGGTATTTAACCTACTCTGCAGTTCTCGAGCATGGCCTTGGCATTCTGATTCAAGACCGTGCAGCATACAGACATGCCGCATTGTCATCCACTCATGTCCTATATTCCTTGGATGCTTCACTCGGTGCAGGAGTAGCAAAGAGGTGTCTCTGCTTCCTCTTGATTTCGCCTTGCCAGTTGACCACAATGGCTGAACCAGTTCCACAATGAGATATATGAGGCAATCCTGCCTCAACATCTGCATTATCAGAATCTGACAAACTAACAAAAACCACAGGTGGCTCTCGAGAGTTTAAACAAGACATGCTCAGTTGTTCCACAACTGTCATGACTGCCTGCCCCAACATTTCAGTGATGGTCTTCTGTAGACCCTCACTCCTGTTGGCCTCATCGTCAGGAGGTCGATTCCGTGGCTCGAGAAAGTGATCAGGTTCGATACGATCCTTGTTTGCCCATTTCTCTTTCAAATGGGAAGGTATCCATGCCAGTGACGAGGCGGATTCCTCACTTTCTGGGTTGGGGTATATAGTGGCCATCCATATTCCAGGATCCCCTGAACCTGGGACATGGACAAACTCGGGTAGGCCGTCATCGTCATGCAGATTCTGAGTTGTCGTAACCATGGGAAAAGTCCCTTGGTCATGCAGCGTCTGTTTAGATGCCCTAGTTGGATCTAGGGTTCGTCTGGGCACAGTTGATGCAGGCTCCGAAGGTCCTTCAGAGTCTCTTCCAATTCATCAGGTTCGACGGGTCAGGGGGCTTCGTCAGGGAAAAGCTCCTGATGTCCCTCAAGCGTGTCTAACCTTTCCAGAATGGTGTTGAATCGACTTTCAAGCCCTTTTTCGAAACTCACAAACATCTGGATGAATTCCCTCCATGGCACATCTTCTCGTGGTGCAACAACAGAGAGTGGTAGGTCTCCCTTCATCGTTGCTTTGTCAACAGGGGGATTATTAGTCCCTGTCAGCTCACCACTCATGGTTGGAAGTAGGGGCACAGGTGCTGAAGGGCCTGTGCCTCTTGCCGCTGACTGAGTCTCTGTGTCAATCAGTGCATGGTCCAGATCAGCAGTGATCGTGGCTGGGGCTTCTGTATCAGCCACCACTCCTGATGAGTCTAGCTCGTCTGGAGGCGTGTTAGGGCTCCCGATGGGATCGGGGTCAATTGGTGTGGTGTTGGCCTCACTGGCATCTATGGTTCTCATGCAGATTTCTGCGCAGTCTTCATCTTCTTTTGATAAGAAGATGATCCAGCCGCCCCTTGAGAACTCATTGGGGAAGAGGGTCTGGGTGCAGATTAGATCGACGTGCTTTGCAATGTCGATTGAATCGGGAACAAGTGCAGGGTTAACTGGATTAACTTACCGAGCATAAAAAAGTGTAAGCACGTGGTTATAAGTGCCTCACACTCCCAGTCTGTCACACAAATACGCTTTAATGAGCTATATTGTTAACAGGGGAGGCTACCTGCACATCTTATATATGTGTATTTACATGATGTAATGCAGCTTAATATTATACAGGTTGTTTATGTTACTGAAGCGTGACTGCAGTTGCACTTGATGTGAAGTATGGAAAGGACAGACAATGTGTGGGTACACATTGTAAGTCCTTACAGCCAGGTTCAGGCAACCTTGTTCCCTACACTCGTTGGCCAGTTTGTCGGTGCAGTGTCAGGGACAGCTCTGAAAATGGCAAGGTCCCAGCATGAGGGACTCAATGGGACAGGTGTCGGCTATGCATAGCAGCAGTCCTGTTGCAGGGTGAGTGTCCCTGACCACTTAGTCTGAAGTGGGAAGTTGAGAAGAAGGCTGCTTCTTCTGTTCCCACCCCAGGCACTATTATATACATGCAGTTGGTGTCACATTGTCATATCTGTGCATACCCGACCCCGACCCAACTTCCGGACCTCCACCCTCTTCACCTCCGGAGTCATACCCTACCGCTGCCGTTCCGATACTCACCTCCGGTCCTGGCAACACACCTCCTTCTACCCCCCATGCCACCTCTGCTCCTCCTTCCCTCTCCTCCCCTATCTCCGTCCGCTCCGATACTCACCTCGGACCGAACATCGCCCCTCTCGCCACCCTCCTACTACTACTCCTCCTCCTACTCCACTCCTCCTTCACAACACCTCCACCCTCCTGTCACCCTCCTACGCTTCCCCCGTCCGCTCCGATACTCACCTTTGGACCTGACAACTCTCCTTTCCGCCACTCCTTCTCCCTTACCTTTCCCCTCTCTCCTCCCTCTGGTACTCCTCCGCCACCCTCCTGCCAAGTTATGACCTTCCACCGCTGTCCCGTACTTCGTACTCGGACACCGCTCGTACCTTTGCTCCGAGCCTCCATCATAGTCCCTACCTCGGACTTTGACTCCACCTCGGTCTTAGTCCATTGCATTGGTGACCTCATACTACGTAGACACCATTGCCAATATCCCTCAGACTTTCAACCCTGCCTCCGTAACCTCCGTAAGCTCCGCAACCCCCGAGCTTCACGGATCGCCTTCAGCACTTTCGCCGCTTGTAATGTATCTCTCGCGTTTTCCCCTCATCCCTATTTGGACTACTGCTTCTTCCCATTCTAGCCAGTTAGTCATCATCCCCACTTCTCCTCATCCTCCTGCCCCTCTGGGCCTCACCCTCCCTACCTCCTTTCGGACGTATCACAGGTCCTGCCTTATGACCTTCGGTACCGCTCCACTTCTTCTACCCTTTGTTCCTGTTTGGACATCTTCGTTCCGATTTGGTTTCCCTTTGTTTCCTTGTGCTTTTGCCCCCTCCATTATATATATCGGCACTTGTACATACTCATTTTGGTTCAGTCCGAAATCAACCTGAAATGCCCCCTAGAGACTTCCTGCTCACCTACTGTGAAATTAAGGACCAAATGGACAAACAGCAATGGCACAGCACTCCGCTTGAGTCGCTGAGGCCAAGGTCCCTCCTTGCTAAGTCTCCGGTTCCCCTCCAGAATCATCCACCCTCACCCAGTTCTAACAGACTGTAGACAAACTGGTCTGGTTTATCAGCAGCATCATGCAGTTTACCATCTTTACCCAGCATAGGATTTTCAGGGTCTGTATGCCACTCACTTTTGTTGCCACAGAGAGTTTCCATTTGCTGAAGGGAGGCTGTATAGATTTTTGTTTTTCAATTTCTTGGCCAACCCCAAATGCATTGATTTTGTAAAATTTCCATGAAAAAATTGTATGAATGCATGCTTAACATTACATTTCAATAGCTAAATCCTTTGATGGTTCTGCGGTTCAGTTCGGTTCAGAACTGGTTCACAATATCCCCCAACATTCAGAACCAAACCATGGTTTGGTTCTGCTGTGGTTTGGTTCCCAGTTTGAACCGGTTCAGAACCAGTTCTCTGTGAACTTCAGCACCCCTACCAATGATGGTGTACCAACAATGTTACAGCTGATATTGAGGTGAAACAGGGTCGTGGTTGTACTGAACTTGAGATGAGTGCTGGGTGGCTAATGCAATACATTAGCGTTATCTATCAGTGGGGCTCAAATAGTATGCAATAGCTATGGTGCACTGAGCAAGGGTGTGTATACAGTCTAATGGACAGTTACACCGGGTCTAACGGCCTCAATTGGCAGGTGTTTCACAGATGGGAATTCAGGCCTTCACAATCAGCAATTGGAAGCCCATTCCATAAACTCAGAATCAATTCTAATAGGGGTAAGACTAAATCAAATTGGTAAGATATGGTACAGGTAGAGGGCATCGAACAATGCACGCATTCATGACCTTAAATAACTAAGCACCCATTTTGGGAGACATCCATACCCCATTATTGAATGGATTCCCATGGGGATAAGAGTGGTCAAACGGGTCAATATTTAGTGCATTTTCTCATGCAAAGTTGTACTATTGATTGGGTTCCTATATGATGGTGGTTACGATGAAGGGATGTGCATTCATTTCTCCTGTCATGGTAGGTGTTTGAGGACCACGGTTTTTGCAATGACGAGTTAAGCAGAAGATTGCATTGCCGTGTTAGAAGCCTTCCACTGGGCCTTCAGCTTCATGCTTCGTGCTGTACAACACTAAACATTGAGAACCACATTCCACCGGACCATTTCACGTGCTTGGTAGGAGACCAGGGGGCCCAGGAACTGAAGTGGAACGATGATTACAAACTGCAAAAGACATGTGCAAAAGAGGTATTGAAATCTTCTTCATTGTCATCCTCTGCAGAGTCCCACTCCCCTGATCATGGTGCATCATTTGCCTCAACCCATGTGACTATCATAGATGAGACTGTGCTCACCGTCTCCAACGATAACGGAGTGGGGCCATCGATTAATACAGGTGATTCCTTTGCCCGTTGCTAACTCAATCGATCTATATGTAATGGATAAATCACTTTAGAAGTTAGAGTCGTTATGGATTCGCTGACCTTGCTTAATGACTGACCCAGATCCCTGGCGTGAAAACACTGTCGTATGGAGCACCGAGAGCCGGTATTTCTTTCCCTTCGAGATCCGCTCGATCATATCCATCTTCAAGGACCAGCACCAAGGCGACATGCCCATGCAACTCATCCCCGTTTCCGAGATATTTGAAAGGGAGGGGAAATTTCTCCCAGATTGCTAAAAATCGGCTATTGTCCGGATCCTCTGGTCGAGTCCCATATGTCTCCCGGATTTTGGTGAGATCAACCTTGTAGCCTTTGATGAAAAGAACTTCTGAGTCTGACATCTGCTGCTAGATTAGCCTCGTTATACTTTGACCTATGACGGGAATCAGACTCACCTCTTCGTCCTGAATTCGAACGATCGTTTCAAAACTCCGCTCGATTTCTGCACGTGATCAAGCTAGTTTGCTGTCAAGACATCTACCTTCGTTCGGTCCGGTCTATTGCGTTAGCTCGACAACCATCGACCACACTCATGTCTTCTACACCTGAGCAAAGATACCGGCGAAGACTTGCTCAGAAGGCCGTAACAGGGCCTCCCACTGAGGCGATCCTATATGCCATCTTCAATGAATTTGTTAGTTTGCATCAACAACAACGTCGCTTCGTCATCTACCTTCAGATGAGCTTGAAATGGAAGCCTCAGGACGTACGGGACCGACGCTCAGAAGTCCCAGATTTTGGTTTGGGGAATTTCACCCTTCCGACTACTGGTCATCCACCTTTCAAGCTTCGTTGTGGCGTAGAAGCAAAGCGCGCTCTTGAAATAATGGCCCCTCTTCCGCCTGCCAATTTAATAATGTCCGATCTCGATGTCAAATCTATGTTCCATTCTCTCTCCTTCCAAGCTCAGAATCAAGCCAAGGCAGCTTACAAGAACGAGTACCCCCTGTCCCCCCAACGGCGTTGAATGGATTCTCCCAATTGGACCGTATTGGATGCCAAAAACATTTGGTCCTTTTTCAGAGGCTGGAAGCACCGTCCGTGCTAATAAACTATCTGACAGTGGTGATTTCGCCGCCACTATGGGCCTCTTCTCCCAAATGCATGGGCCTCCTCCCGACCTTGCCGAACTTTATCTTCTCGGTACCCCAGAATCTTTTAATCGATTGGAACAAATCATCGCTTCAACGGACCACCTTGCACAACCATTCATCCAAGCCATGACTTCTTGGTATATTGCACCTTATACTATCTGTTGCATCGTTAACTGAGCTTCCAGAACCTGCATAACGTTTATGGTGATAGCCTGATTAGCGGAAATAGACACGACCAAGGAACTTTTCTTATAATTTATTGATTAGAAAATACCTTTAGTTGAGATCGCCGATGAGCCTGTATCTCACTCTACTGTATCACACAACATTTCTCTTTACCAATGTTCCAAGTAGGCAATAGGGTATTGCCGTTGTACTCTTTTGATTCTTCTGCCCAGGAAAAGTCTTAGCATTCCAACCGTTCGGCCTTCTTTGATGCACTCCGCCATTTGACGGGTTGATCTATCACGGTGGAGCTAGCACAGCTTACTGTTCTTTTGCAATCGGTGACTTCTATGACAAGCATTGGAAAGGCGCTGAGGGCAACCTGTCAGCGCTCTCAGAATGCAACTAATCAGCGCGCTTTGCGATCCGGGGAGTGTATGATGCCCCCATGGCTCCAGTGTCTAATGGTGGTTCCAACTTGAGGAATGGGTCGGGATATAAGTCCCCTCGGTGCTTTCCACAGGTAGGTTCCTATGTGTCTATGTGAGCCTCTGAGTGGGACTCAATGCGGAAGCGGCTCACTATTCTGGTTGGATTTGTTGCCAAAACATTACAGTTGTGTAGAGCACCACTTCGGGTCTGCAGGTCTGCATGGATGGTAGCGCATGGGAAACAGACTCAATCTCCATCACTCTGATCCGATCTGGAGAGGTCTGATCATCCTGATGTTTCCAATCAGCCTGATCTAGCCGATCCATGTTGATCCTAGCTCCACTGTATTGATTAGTCCATACAGTTTGAGTGCAGCAAGTGGGTTTGTCCCCTGCTCTTGTTATTGACTAGGTTACTGGGACCACCACTAGCACAAACTGATGCATGTTCCCTGACATGGACAGGCAAATTCATTAAATTTTCTATCATGGGAACAACAGTGTCTTTGCATAGTTGTACTCCATTTAGCCATAGCTATCTATCATGACCATGCATTCTGGCCTGGATGCCAGCCCCTTGTTCTGTTTCTGTTAGAACAGGGCAAGAGCAGATGATTCCAGAGTGGGACTGGAGACTTAGCAAGGAGGGACCTTGGCCTCAGCAACTCAAGGGGAGTGCTGTGCCATTGCTGTCTGTCTGTTTGGTCTTCAATTTCAGACATAGCAAGGAGGAAGTCTCTAGGGGCATTTGTCATATCCATACAATCCTGACCTCTGCTCCGGGCTCCCGGAACTCCAAAACTGACTCCAGAGCCCTACTTCCCTTCCATCACCTTCTCCTTGCCAACTCCCAAGAGGTTATCCCACCTCTGGCTCCGACACCACCTTTGGTCCAACCTCAACCTCAACACCTCCCAGATGAGCATGCAACACCTATGCTCCCAACTCCAGACCTCCACTCTGGAATCCTGTTTGCATCTCCATCTCTGGAACCTCCAGTCTTAGCTCCGACCTCGGACTTTGACCCCACCTCCGCTTATACCCATTGTATTGGTTAGCTCATTCCATTTAATTAGGTTTGCCAATATTCCGGAGTTTAACTTCTGAGTTCGGACTTTCTGGACTTACCTCAGACCTTGCAACTATTGCATTGTCCTATTCAATTCCGCTATTCTCCCTCATTCCTATTTGGGCTGCTGCTTCCTTTCTATTCAGTCAGCTGGCCATTCCCCACTCCCTTCCTCCTTCCTTCCTCCTTGGGCCTTGGCCCTTCACTCCTCCTTTGGGAAACACCATTGAGTCAAACCCTTGACCCTTGGTGTTGTTCCTCCTTCCAGCTCCCTTTGTCTGCTTTCAGAGTACCCTTGCTCCTTTTGATTCTGGACCCCTCCTTATATACAATGTACATAGTAACTTGTAACCTCAGTCTGAAATCGACCTGAAATGCCCCCAAGAGACTTTCCCTCTGCTAGATCCAAAATTAGGGACCCCTAGGACAACCAGCAATGGCACAGTGCTCCACCTGAGTCGCTGAGGCCAAGGTCCTTCCATGCTAAGTCTCCAATTCCACTCCGGAGTCGTCTGAATCTGCCCGTTCTAACAGCATTTCTAGTCAATTTTAGACTGAGGGTCTAATCAAGTATGTACAAGCACCTACATATAATGGAGAGATGAAAGCACCTGACCAAAAAGTTGCTAAACTAAGGGAGACTGGGCATGTAAGACAAAAGAAACAAGCACATGCCATGAAAGCTGCAGACCCAGGAAGAAGGGCAATCTTGGGGGGCATGACCAGCCACCTGGTGGGACCAAATCCCTGCCCCACCCGCTGCACCAGGGCAGGGCCTACAAAGTAGGCTCTCAAACTTCCATTGAGAGGGATGAGGCCCAGACACACCTTCCGGCAGCTAAGACACCCCCAAACCAAATCAAAATTTAAAAAAAAAAAAAAAAAAAAAAGAGAAAAAACCTGATAAAGACAAAACTGTACATCTATCCCAGCCCCAACTGACCCACACCACAACACGTGCCCCCCCAAACTTGTTAAAACCCCAAACCCATACACAACACGAGCCACATAGTAAGCCCAGATGCCTATCATGAACTGCCCAGCAAATGACCCAGCCCACCCAAGGACTAGCTTGGGCACTGTCATATCCATACAATCCCAACCTCCGCTCCGGGCTCCCGGAACTCTGAACCTGACTTCCGGAGTCTTACTTCCCTTCCGTCACCTCCTCCTTGCCAACTCCCAAGAGGTTATCCCACCTCCGGCTCTGACACCACCTTCGGTCCGACTCCGGGACATTCCAGGTCCGACCCCAACCTCAAGACCTTCCAGACAAGTATGCAAAACCTATGCTCCCGACTCCAGACCTCCACTCCGGAATCTCGTTTGCATCTCCGTCTCCGGAACCTCCGGTCTTAGCTCCGACCTCGGACTTTGACCCCACCTCCACTTATAGCCATTGTATTGGTTAGCTCATTCCATTTAATTACGTTTGCCAATATTCCAGAGTTTAACTTCTGAGTTCGGACTTTCCAGACTTACCTCGGACCTTGCAACTATTGCATTGTCCTATTCAATTCCGCTATTCTCCCTCATTCCTATTTGGGCTGCTGCTTCCTTTCTATTCAGTCAGCTAGCCATTCCCCACTCCCATCCTCCTTCCTTCCTCCTTGGGCCTTGGCCCTTCATTCCTCCTTTGGGAAACACCATTGAGTCAAACCCTTGACCCTCAGTGTTGTTCCTCTTTCCATCTCCCTTTGTCTCCTTTCGTCCTACCCTTGTTCCTTTTGATTCTGGACCCCTCCTTATATACAATGTACCTAGTAACTTGTAACCTCAGTCCGAAATCGACATGAATTCCCCCCAAGAGACTTTCCCTCTGCTAGATCCAAAATTAGGGACCCCTAGGACAACCAGCAATGGCACAGCACTCCGCATGAGTCGCTGAGGCTGAGGTCCTTCCTGTCATATCCGTGCATACCCGACCCCGACCCGACTTCCGGACCTCCACCCTCTTCACCTCCGGAGTCATAACCTACCGCTGCCTTTCCGATACTCACCTTCGGTCTTGGCAACACACCCCTCCTCTTACCTCTCCGACCCCTTCTCCATCCGTTCCAATACTCATCTCGGACCGAACATCGCCCTACTCGCCACCCTTCCTACAACTCCGCTCCCCCCTCACCACACCTCCACCCTCCCGTCATCCCCTACGCTTTCTCCGTCCGTTCCGATATCCACCTTCGGACCTGACTACTCTTCCTTACCTGTCCCCTCTCTCCTTCCTCTGTCACTCCTCCGCCACCCTTCCGCCAAGTTACGACCATCCACCGCTGTTCCGTACTTCACCCTTGGACACCATTCGTACCTTACTCCGAGCCTCCGTCATAGTCCATACCTCGGACTTTGACTCCACCTCGGTCTTAGTCCATTGCATTGGTGACCTCATACTACGTAAACACCATTGCCAATATTCCTCAGACTTCCAACCCCGCCTCCGTAACCTCCGTAAGCTCTGCAACCCCCGAGCTTCGCGGACCGCCTCCGGCACTCTCGCCGTTTGTAATGTATTTCTCGCAATTCCCCCTCATCCCTATTTGGACTACTGCTTCCTTCTATTCTAGCCAGTTAGTCATCACCCCCACTTCCCCTCATCCTCCTGCCCCTCTGGGCCTCGCCCACTCTACCTCCTTTCGGATGTATCACAGGTCTTGCCCTATGACCTTCGGTACCGCTCCGCTCCCTCTAACCCTTTGTTCCCGTTCGGACGTCTTCATTCCGATTCGGTCACCCTTTGTTTCTCCTTGTGCTTTTGCCCCTTCCTTATATATATCGGCACTTGTACATACTCGTCTGGTTTCAGTCCAAAATCGACCTGAAATGCCCCCAAGAGACTTCCTGCTCACCTACTGTGAAATTAAGGACCAAATGGACAAACAGCAATGGCACAGCGCTCCGCTTGAGTCGCTGAGGCCAAGGTCCCTCCACACTAAGTCTCCGATTCCACTCCGGAGTCGTCCGAATCCGCCCATTCTAACAGGCACCAAAAGAAATAGAGGCAGCTCAAACACATCAAACGCCTCCAACCTCCTAGCTCCCCCCAAGAAGGAAGAAAGGATGATGAGAACCAGCTCCAAAGAAACAACAACAGCCCCCATGGAACTGGGGAACGAGGACCAACCAACCCCCGACCCCAAAACAATGATCAGAGTCCCAGCCACACCAGCCCCAGGCCCAGTTGAAACACCCAACGACACCATGACCGACTTTAATGTCCACCCACTCCCGGAGGGCTTCAATCACCAGATCCTAGGCCTCAACAGCATATACCTCTGCCTAAATGTCTCAAAAGGAGCCATTGATGCATGGGAAGATGCCATAAACTGCGCCATAATCATTATCCCTATCTTCATGGCATTCTCCAGGGCCAGAATGGGTGAAGCCAAAGACTATGCCACTGTTAGAGACCAGAAGCAAGACAAAGGAGTTGTCTCCATGGCAGAGGGCTTCAGCCTCAGCAACTCAGACCAGGAGCGCTGTGCCTAGTTACATGTCCATGCTCTAATTTACTTACTGGCAACGAGAACTAAAAAGGGGGATCAACTCTAGTCGATTTTA